GTGAAAGAAGCCTTGTCCTCTGCAGGTGAATTTTGCATGAGTCACGGCCTGGGCCAGGTTGGATTTGGCCCCATTCAGGGCTGGCATAAGGAAAAGAGAGTTCATTAAGAGATCTTGAATCAATTTAGCATGTGGAAGAGCCAGAAAGGAACTCCATAGACTTGGAGTTGGGGCCAATTGACTATATTTTAAAATACACATTTTAATAAAGGCAGTTCCTGACATGGAGTGTGACATTCTAAAAGTTAATGATAACACACGAGCCCCAGAGGGTTTTACCTCCTGGACGTTGTTTCATCAGGTATAATTTTGTGAGGATTTTTATGGCACTGGCGTACTGTGCCATGTGCCAGGCGAAGACCAAATAAGCCAGTCAACATTTTTCTGATCTTCGATGACCATGACATGCCCCACAGAAAATAATGTTGCCAGCCAAGCTGGCAACAGTGTTCTAATAAATGTGAGTGTAGTAAAATAACAAGAATCCGAGAAATCAAGGACTAGAGCTCTTAAAAAAACAGTCTCCAGGCCTTCGTTTGTCACGCTCTCCTGCAGCCAGCCGGGCCTTGCATGTCTCACACGCATGCCTCTGGGCTGTGCATCCCAGAGCCGGCCAGCCCTCCCTGCCCCTCATGCAATGCATGGCCTCACCTATTTTGCCACCAAAATAGCTCTTTATTGGATCAATTCCACTCCCTACACATGGGCCTTGGATCTTGCAAACTGGTCTTAATGCCTCCAGTTGTGTTCATGATCTTGACCCTTCTGGGGTTTTCCTTAGGATAAAATCCGTGCCCCTTCCCAGGACCCACAAGCCCTCCAGGAGTGGCTGTGCCTCACCCCACTTATACTTACATGCTGCTCGTACTGAACTGCATTCTGTGCCATGGAGCATGTTACCCACATCTCTCAACCCCTCCACATTGCTGTTCCTCAATCCTCCTTGCTGCTCTTTCTCTACTCCTATTGCTTCTTCTTAGCTCAGGACCACTTTCTCCGGGAATCTTTTCCCAAACCCTCTCCCAGTGATGCTGGGTTGGTGCTTCTCCCACATGCTCCCTGTTCTCTCCTGACTTGGTGTGGAGCGGGCTACATTATACTTTATTGTGGTAATTATATATATATACATAACATTTACCATTCTCTCTATTTTTAAGTGTACAGTTCAATGGCATTAAGTACATTCACACTATTGTACGACCATCCATCTCCAGAACTTTTCATCTTTCCCAGCTGAAGCTGTACCCACTAAACACTAACCCCCCATTCTGCCTCCCACCCAGCCCCCGATAACCACCATTCTACATTCTGTCTCTGTGAATTTGTCTATTCGAGTTTCTTCATATAAGTGGAGTCTGCAATGTTTGTACTTTCGTGTCTGGCTTATTTCAGTTAGCATAATGTCTTCAGGGTTCTTCCATTTTGTATGTAGCATGTGTCAGAATTCCCTTCCTTTTTAAGGCTCAGTAATATTCCATTGTACGTATCTATCACATTTTGTTTATCCATTCATTCGTTGATGAACATTTGGATTGTTTCCACCTTTTGGCTATTGTGAATAACCCTGCTATGAACACTGGTGTACAAGTATCTGTTAAGTCCTGTTTTACATTCTTTTGGGTATATACCCAGAGGTGTAAATGCTGAATCATATGGTATTTGTATTTAAAGTTTTCTTGAGGAACTGCTGTACTGTTTTCCATAGTGGCCACACCATTTTGCATTCCTTCCAGCAGTGTACAGGGCTCTAACTTTTTCCACATCTTACATAAACAACACGATGTTTTCTGTTTGTTGTTGATAACAACCATCCTGATGGGTGTGAAAGGGTATCTCACTGTGGTTTGGATTGGACCAGGCAATATTGTGGTCGCTTCTTCAATGAGCTGTGTACCACAGTGGGCTGAAGAGTTTGTAAAGGCAGCACCTGTGCCTCTCTCCATCACCTCCTTGTCCCCCACCCCAGCAGAGTGCCTACCCACAGTCACTATTGGCCAAATAACTGACCAACTGAGGATGAATGAAATTTGGCCCAGGAGTGTTTTCAGGACTGAGCATTTAAGCTTTCCCCCTGTCTGGATGACCCTGACAAGAAGACATCGTGCTCTCCCTTGCTGTTCTTAGGATAGGCCTCCTGTTCAATGGGGGAGCCCCGTAGGTCAGCAGTTTACAAATGTATCTTATACAAACACCAGTGTAGAGGACAGGTAAGAGTGGGGCCAGGCTGGACAGAACATGTATGCCTGAGGGAGGGAGAGGGCAATGAGGGGAGCAGAGCCGCCCCCACCCCACCATCCAGGGCAGCCTGGGGCAGAGTTGAGCATAAGGGACAGATATGGTCTGCAGCCCTCATATTTCCTCTCTGTGGGGCTTTGAGGCCCACAGAGATCAGGGCTGATACCCTCTCTGGGAGGACCCCAAATGAGAATTAAAGGGAATTATGTTAGTATGAAATGAACAAATCCATAGAGCAAGATCAGTGATGTCAGTGGTGTCCATTGGCTTGGACAAGGTAAGAGAAGAAGGGATTTTTTTTTTAATATAATGTATTATTTGTTTCAGGGGTACAGGTCTGTGATTCATCAGTCTTACACAATTCACAGAGCTCACCATAGCACATACCCTCCCCAATGTCCATCACGCAGCCACCCCATCCCTTCCACCCCCCTCCCCTCCAGCAACCCTCAGTTTGTTTCCTGAGATTAAGAGTCTCTTATGGTTTGTCTCCCCCTCTGGTTTCTTCTTGTTTCATTTTTCCCTCCCTTCCCCTATGATCGTCTGTCTTGTTTCTCAAATTCCTCATATCAGTGAGATCATATGATAATTGTCTTTCCCTGATTGACTTATTTCGCTTAGCATAATACCCTCTAGTTCCATCCACATCATTGCAAATGGCAAGATTTCATTTTTTGATGGCTGCATAATATTCCATTGTATATATATACCACATCTTTATCCATTCATCCGTTGATGAACATCTGGGCTCTGTCCATAGTTTGGCTATTGTGGACATTACTGCTATAAACACTGGGGTACACATGCCCCTTCGGATCCCTACATTTGTATCTTTGGGGTAAATACCCAGTAGTGTAATTGCTGGGTCGTAGGGTAGTTCTATTTCAACTTTTTGAGGAATCTCCATACTGTTTTCCAGAGTAGCTGCACCAGCTTGCATTCCCACCAACAGTGTAGGAGGGTTCCCCTTTCTCTGCATCCCCGCCAACATCTGTCATTTCCTGACTTGCTAATTTTAGCCATTCTGACTGGTGTGAGGTGGTATCTCATTGAGGTTTTGATTTGTATTTCCCTGATGCCAAGTGATGTTGAGCACTTTTTCATGTGTCTGTTGGCCATTTGGATGTCTTCTTTGCAGAAATGTCTGTTCATGTCTTCTGCCCATTTCTTGATTGGATTATTTGTTCTTTGGCTGTTGAGTTTGATTAGTTCTTTATAGATTTTGGATACTAGCCCTTTATCAGATATGTCATTTGCAAATATCTTCTCCCATTCTGCTGGTTGTCTTTTGGTTTTGTGGACTGTTTCTTTTGCTGTGCAAAAGCTTTTTATCTTGATGAAATCCCAATAGTTCATTTTTGCCCTTGCTTCCCTTGCCTTTGGTGATGTGTCTAGGAAGAATTTGCTGTGGCTGAGGTCAAAGAGGTTGTTGCCTGTGTTCTCCTCAAGGATTTTGATGGATTCCTGTCTCACATTTAGGTCTTTCTTCCATTTTGAGTCTATTTTTGTGTGTGGTGTAAGGAAATGGGCCAGTTTCATTCTTCTGCATGTGGCTGTCCAATTTTCCCAACACCATTTGTTGAAGAGACTTTTTTCCATTGGACATTCTTTCCTGCTTTGTCAAAGATGAGTTGACCATAGAGTTGAGGGTCCATTTCTGGGCTCTCTATTCTGTTCCATTGATCTATGTGTCTGTTTTTGTGCCAGTACCATACTGTCTTGATGATGACAGCTTTATAATAGAGCTGGAAGTCCGGAATTGGGATGCCATCAGCTTTGCTTTTCTTTTTCAACATTCCTCTGGCTATTCAGGGTCTTTTTTCTTTCCATACAAATTTTAGGATCATTTGTTCCATTTCTTTGAAAAAAGTTGATGGTATTTTGATAGGGATTACATTAAATGTATAGACTGCTCTAGGTAGCATAGACATTTTCACAATATTTGTTGAGAAGAAGGGATCCTATGGAAGGGAGCCCTCAAGATCTCTCAAGGCCTTGGAGAGAGTGGACAGTGCTGATTGGTTAGTGTGGGCCAAGTTTAAAACAGCCGCATGGAGTGGCAGTCCAGCCTGGCCTGGTCCCCACAGCCACAGGTGACATGGTGCTCACAGAACGCTGGGAGTCTCTGGGACCCTCACAGAAGGGTCTCAAGGTGCAGCCTGGCTCCTGTGGTGCCTATTTGTAATAGGAGGGACTAAACTAGACAGTCTCAAGTCCTTTCCAGCTCCCCAAATTGTAGGATTCTTGGTTGCTGTCCACATTCAGTAAGGACATTAAATGCCTTTGTGTGACACACTGCCAGGCTTATCCAGGAATCAGGCTCCGAGGGTCATGACACAGGAGGGACGCATTCCAGGTGGGGCTGACACTGTCTTCTGTGAAACAGAATGGCCTTTGTCCTGCTAAAGAGATCCACACCCTGAGGACCTCAAGCTTGAGGATGAGCAAAGGGCACTTCAGGCCAGCAAGCCTGGGTTTTGATCCTGGATCCCCCTTTTTCAACTGGGTGACCCTTTCCTCCGGGAATGACAGTATCAACCTCCATGCTCAGGCCCCCGCCTGTACTCATAGAGAACAAAGAATGGATAGCCATGGGCGGAAGATTCCTCTCCCACCCAAGAAGGGCTGCTCCCAGAGCAGGGAGGCCGCACTCTGACCTCTGTGTCTATAGTCACTTCCCAAAGGCCTGAGAGGAAGGGCAGGTTTGGAGGGCAGCTGGTGGAACTGGGAGACCAGCTGGTGACCGGCATGCCCTCTCATTGCAGGGAACAACAGCTTCTTCCAAGCCGAGCTCTGTCAGAAGCACTGGCAGGACCTGCCCCCCAGCAAGTGCCACAGCACCACCCAGGACTCCCGGAAGGAGACCAGCAGCATGTGGGCTCTCATGGTGGTTGCCCAGCTGCTGGCAGGCGTCGGGACGGTGCCCATTCAGCCGTTTGGAATCTCCTATGTGGACGACTTCTCTGAGCCCAACAACTCACCCCTGTACATCTGTGAGTCACAAGCTTGAGGAGGGCAGCAGGGAGGGGGCCCAGTCCTGAAATGGCCTTTGCTGAGGCCCTGAGGGGCTGAATCGAGGTTGGACCTTCTTTGCCCCACAACACAGCAAATGAGTGCCGAGGTTTGGGGAGCAGACAGATCTGGCTGGAAGGCCAGCTCTGTTACCTACCAGCTGTGTTATCCTGGGCAGGTGGGTGGGCCCCAGGGCCCCAGGTTCCCTCACCTGCAGAACGGGGCTAATAGTATCCGTGCCCTGGGCAGCTGTGGGATTACATAAGTAATGTAGGTCACCCCTTAGCCCCACACTGGGCACAGGGGAGCTCCTTACCAGCTCCTGGAACTATTGCTGTCCGGTCCTCCAGGCACAGGCCGGGGTACCCGTGTCTTCCTGAACCATCCACTTAGGGACAGCACAGCCTCAAGGAAGGACAAGCAAAGCAGATAACAAATGACCACCTGACTGCGCCCATCCTTCCCTTACAACAAGCCACACTGAGCATTCTCGAGGCCCACGCCCCAAACCAGACAGAGCACCCACACTGGCTCAGTGGCCCCACAGCTCCTGCCAGGGCCCCCAGCATCATACTCGCAGGGAGCCTAGCCCACCAGCACACCCAGCAGGAATCGTTAAGTGCTGGGGAGGCTTTCCCTCCTGGCAAGTGGATCTCTCTGGCAGCTGGCTGGAGGAGAAACAGCTTTGGTTCTGCACATCTCAGGATCTTGAGTGATTCTGGTCTTGTCTATGGGAAATGCCCTCGGTGTGGACTTGTTAGGGCCAGGGGACAGATGGCGTGACATCTCAGGAACCCCTCAGCTAGGGAAGGAACCTGGGGCTGCCACACTCTCTCAGGCTCCCTCGGCCTCCTTTGCCTGCTCCCCTTTCCAGCCATCTTATTTGCCATCTCTGTATTCGGACCGGCCTTCGGGTACCTGCTGGGCTCTGTCATGCTGCAGATCTTCGTGGACTATGGCAGAGTGGACACAGGTGAGTGTGTGCCAGGGTGCTTGTCCTACCGCTCGTTCCACGAAGCAGCCTCCCCAGCCCCGGCCAGGCAGGGCAGAAAATGAAGCTTCAACTCCAGATGCTTGGGCCCCCTCTTTCCCTCACTCCTTCACTCCTGCAGAGCCTCAGACAGCTGGGAGCAGACCACGTGAATCCTCTGGCACAGGACCCTTTCTGTCCTCAGGAAGTTCGTAGCCGAAAACCTTGAGACCTGGGGCAGGGCCTCAGCTGTCGCCACCACGGCTGCCCATCTTGGTGGTGGTATTAAAAACAGTTTTATGGTCCTTGGATTCTAAGGTGGTGTTTAATTATTTTAAGAAAAGATTTAATAAGAGTTCTTTTGAGGATAAAAAAGCACTACATAAAATATACACATGGATTATGATTCACATGCTTAACTCTGTGGGCACTGGCAGTAAACAAGCTGTTAATCCTGGTTCCACCTCTCACTGGCTGAGTGATCTTGAGCAAGTATCTATATCTTTCTGTGCCTCAGTTTCCTCATCTAGAAAATGGGGCTAATGATAGTAAAATAGAGTCGTTGTAAGGATTAGAACATGCCTGATATATATTAAGAGGTTTACAGGTATGAGCTCTTATTCTTCACAAAATGGTATGGACTAAATCACTGTGTATCTTAGAATGAGGAGGACATATGGTCTATAGACCATGGCACAAACACTGAGGTAACCCCTCATGGAGCCAGCCCCCCAGTGAATCCTACAAGAGCTCATGGCCTTTGTAAGCTTGTCCTATGCCACCCAGCCTCCTAAAGGGCAGGGAGAGCCAGCACTATCACAGGGGGGCAGGCAAAGTGCTTTGGAAGCTCCAAGGAGGAGACAGTGCTCCTGCCCGAGGTGGTCAGGGAGGGCTTCCCAGGCAGCTGACATCTGCATTGAGCCCCATCGGTGGGTGCAATTTCTGCCTTCCAGGTGGAGAAAAATACTTGGACAAAGCCAAGAGGTGGAACATGTGTGGAGTGTGGTGGTGGTACAGAAAGCTCCAACTAGCCAGAAGATGTGGCTAGAAGGCAGATCGGAGCCAGACTCTCAGGAATAGTACTCCCACCAGTTCCTGGCACACAGATCAGAGCCTGCACATCACACAAAGAATGTGGACAGGCATTAAAGCTACCATGCTGCCAGAGTCCACAGACTCCTGTTCTTGGGGACCATCAGACCATGATGTCTTCCTTGAGGTGTCACCTGCCTTTACTTCACATGACAGGGAAAAGCCCGGGGGAGCTTTCTGCCTCAGGGTCAAGCCTTCTTTGCCCTTTTACTGGCACTTCCTGAATTGGTTCCTGCCTCTTGGTTGCCCAGAGAGACTTGCAGCTGAGCTCCCAGTACCAGGGCCAGTGCCCAGCGATGCCTGGCATTGCTTGGCTGAAGGCCATTCTGCTACCTTCTCCCTCCTTTCATGCCCACATAGTTTCTTTACAAAGAGAGACACAATGGCAGACTCTCAGATGCTGATGGGAGACATTGCCAGAAGTATCTCCTTTGGAGGCTCAGCAGCCCACTCTGATAATGGTTGTTCCCTCAGGCTCCTAAGGATGATGGGGCCTTCTTTCTTAGGGATCAATAAAGTTGGGAGGCAGTAGCAGGCAGTGGTTAAGAGTGCAGGCTTGGACACCAGGGAGACATGGGTTTAAAACTGACCAATGAAATAATACTTACCAGCCTTGACCTTGGACCAGTGCAAAGCTAACGTCTCTGATCCTCAGTTTTCTGATTGGTTGGAGGTGGGTGGATGCAGCCTCCTTCATTGTTATTCCTACCAAGGGTTGGGAATAAAATAAAGTGAGGCTAAGGTTCTGATTCCTTCAGCCTAGGGATTCTCTGATGTTCTGCTTTATACTCAGTGGTCACCATGCTCCAAAGACCAGATGGCCTGGGGAGGGAATGTTGTCTTGACTCAGATTCTAGCTCATGGCTTACCTCTTCTGCATCATGGGAAGAAAGTACCCCTGATCAGAAGCCCTCTTTCCAGCAAAATGAGAACCCACATTCATCCAGAAAACACTTGTTCTCTTTGCTTTCTTTCCCAGCTGCCGTTAACCTGAGCCCTGGAGACCCCCGGTGGATTGGAGCCTGGTGGCTGGGCCTGCTCATCTCCTCAGCGTCCTTGGTTCTCACTTCTTTCCCCTTTTTTTTCTTTCCTCGAACAATGCTCAGGGAAGCGGAGGTAAGGTTCTAAGAACCCATGACTCCCTGCCTATCAAAGTTCAAGAAAGGGAGGTGTAGGAAAAAATAAACTGAACTGAGAAGCAAATTCTGGGTGAAATCTAAACAAGTTATATGACTCAGGACTTCTCAGAGGCTTTGAGAGGTGAGAGTGCTGGTGAATTTCCAAAAGACGGTCTCCCACCAGTGTCCCCTTACCATGTCAGCATCTCAGGCATCAGGAGGGTTCCAGGGAACGCACTTCGGGAAACACCAAGTTCACAGTGAAGAGCCAGGAAAAGCTGAATATATGACCTGGCACAGTTGGCCCATCACGTGTGAACCTGCAGGACTGAGTTGGAAGGAGACCCCCTAGAGCTGAGGAGCGGGAGGGCGAGCTGAAGAGTGAGCTAACTATGGGCAGATGGACCTTCTGTGTGTCTGTTGGGGAAGAAGTCAGAAAACGATGAGAACGGAAGACAGAGACGAGAAGTCTAGGAGGGGCTTTGATGTTAGGCCTAGGGTCTAAAACTTGTTCCGACCCCATGAAGTTCTGGGGCGCTGCAGTGACTGGGTGACCACGTAGGGGGCACCATGGCAGCTGGGCTGAGGTCGGGGAGTCAGGAAGGAGGGGAGGCTGGCCATCTGAAGAGGCCTGTGTAGAGACGGGGGATGAGGCTGAGCGCCAGGGCGGGGGCTGCTGGGCAGCTGAGGCGAGGGCAGGGAGCGATGTTCTTGGAGGGGCTGCCAAGGACTGAGCGGCCGACAGATTGGAGGAGAAGGGAGCCGAAGTGAGCCAGAGCCAGAGCTCAGCATTTGGCAGTGAGCTGTGTGAGATATAGGCCGAGCTGTGGGAAGAGGGGTGGGGGTGGGAGAGCCTCCGCTTGTCTTGGGGAAGAATTTCAGAGATTGTCAGTGCATTACGGTGGTTTGGGGGTCAGGCAAACCTGAGTCTGAGTCCAGATGCTGAGTGATCTTGGGCAAGTTTCCTTGTTTCTAAGTTTCCTTTAAAATACTGGAGATAGAGCACGAGTCTCAGAGGAGGCTGTGAGGAGTGCCGATGTGTGTGGAAGGCTGGGCATGGTTCCTGGTGTGGAGTAAGCACTCAGTGCGTGGGAGCTCCCGTGCCTGGTGGTGTGTTCCCCAGGGGAGCCCCAGTGGCATCAGGGCTCGGGGGGAGCCTTGCACACCATGTGCAGGGGTTCAAAGCTGCAGCTGACGAGTTCGCAAGGGGTAGGCGAGCTCACTGAGATGGTATGGGTAGAAAGTGTGGGCCAGGGGCCAGGCTGGAGCCTTGAGCAGGACTCAGCTTTGGGCCCAGAAGGAGGAAGGGACTCTATAGAGGAGACAGAAAGAAAGGGCTAGAAACAGAGGTAATTCTAGACCAGTGTATCCCAGAAGCCTGCGGCCCCTGGAATCTGAGGACGGGGAGGAAGTGTAGCCATGACAGACAGACAAGGGGTGAGATCTGATCGGACACCTTTTGGCATCAGTCAAGGGAAAGTTAGATATGAATAACATGCCCAGGGGAGTGTCGGGAGGCACTGTTGTGGATGTGTTCTGGCCGGCAGCCACAGCACTGGGCTCACTGACATGCAAGTAGCATTTGCTTCAGGAGCATTCTCTGGGCGCCCTTCCACCCACACCTGGGGCAGCTCAGTGCTGCCCGTCCCTGAGCCACCGAGACCAGGAGGGGCAAGGGCCCAGGGAAGGGTCACTAAAGGGAGCCTAGGCCATTAACGTTCATCCCCTTTGCTGCCTCCAGAGGTCTCCAGCCATAGTGGATGAGGCAAGGAAGATGGATGAGGTCAAGCCAAGAAGCTCCCTGCTGGATTTCATTAAATGTAACTAACTGACCCAACAAAGTCCTGGGGGGCGGGCCTGGCTTGCGGTGAGGGTCAGGGGGTATCCCAGCCCATGTGGTATGGCGTGTGGTAAGGGGCAGTAAGAGCAGGTGGTCCCATCTCTCAGGAGGGGTTCTGCCAGGGGTCCTGGTGACTGCTTCTGTGCAGGTTCCAGGAGACTCAGAGTTAAGCAGAGTCAGCCCCGCCTCCATGGTCCGGCCCCGGTGTTCTCTCCTCTCCTTTTACATGGAGGTGGCTGTCATGTGAGGAGGATGTTCCCAGTGTTAGCTCTATTTCTATCCAGGCTTCGCCTGATATCTCCCAGGCACATCCTCACTTTACTTAGCCCATGAGCATGTTGAGTGGGAGTCGAGCGGCTGTGTGCCTCTGGCCACTGAACATCTTGGTGCCTCAGATCTGCCCTGAGGAAGAGAGGAGGGCTGCCTGGAGGAGGAGAAAGGGCAGTGACTAGTCCCAAGCTACCCGTGTGGTGACTGCCATGAGGGCCCGGCCCCTGACAGCCGTCTGTTTGCAGGCTTTCCCCACATCTTCCTGAGGCTGCTGATGAACCCACTCTTCATGCTGGTGGTCCTGGCCCAGTGCACCTTCTCCTCTGTCATTGCTGGCCTCTCCACATTCCTCAACAAGTTCCTGGAGAAGCAGTATGGTGCCTCTGCAGCCTATGCCAACTTCCTCATCGGTGAGTCTGGAGGGTGGGGGTGCTGCAGGAGCTGGGGGGCCCTGCCTGGGCCCTGCCTGCAGGAGTGGCTGGGCCCTCCTCCACCCATCCAGGGATGGGCGAAGCCAGACCGGACACAGACAAGAGCCAGAGGAGGACTGGCCCAGAGGAAAGAATTTTAAGGACATTTTTCCTAGTTAGCAATCTAGAATGTTCTTGGCAGATCTCTGGGGCCCCTATCATTCCAGGCAGGGGTGGGTGGAGGCTAGGGTCTGCCTTCCTCCCCGTCAGAGGGGCTGGAAACCTGACAGCCTCCCAAGGCCCTGACATCATCAGGGCAAACAGAGGAAAGAGAGAAGGTAGAATTTGGGGTTAGGCAAAATGCCTTGTGGTTTTTTTTCCTTTCTTCACCAAGGACTCAGATACATTCACTTGGGTAAGGAATATGTGGCCCAGTGATTCTCCACCCTGGCTGCACTTTAGGATACCCTGGACAACTTTAAAAAAATACAGACACCCGGGCTCCCTGCTCAGTCAATGAAAGCAGAATCTCTGGGTGGGGCCCAGCGTTGGTATTTTGTGCAGCTGACATCGAGAGGCACTGATGTGGTCCTACCAAGTACCAAAGGGAACTACAGAGCCCAGTCCCCAGGTGAGCCTGGCCATATGGATGTGGCAAGGTGGTCAGGGCACTGGCTGTGACCTCATCCCTTTAACCTTCAGTCACCAGCTAGCACATCAGACAGGGACACCACCTTGGGACCCATGTGGTCACAGTAAGAATGCAATGAGGGGACAGGTAATGAAAAGTGCTTAATAAATGCACCTTCAACCCACATCCCTCTGGCTGCAAGGACTCCACTTGTTTCTTTATTCTTTGCACAAGCAGGGCAATCTGCTAAGTCAGGATAACTCTGTAGATGTGCCTGGCAAACCGTAAGCGCTCAGTTAATGTCAGCTATTACCACTGCAATTGAATGTATCAAATGTTCCTTCAAGTAGCCATGCCCCTTTGTCCATGGTTCAGCTCAGTGTCTGTGCCCTGCCCCCACTCCCAGTCCTGTGCACCCAGACAGCTTCTCTTTATCTATAGGTGCTGTGAACCTTCCTGCCGCAGCACTGGGGATGCTGTTTGGAGGAATCCTCATGAAGCGTTTTGTTTTCTCTCTGCAAACCATTCCCCGCGTGGCTGCCACCATCATCACCATCTCCATGGTCCTCTGCGCCCCTCTCTTCTTCATGGGATGTTCCACCCCCACTGTAGCGGAGGTCTATCCCCCCAGGTAATGGGAATGAGAGGTGAGAAGATCCCCTTTGCTGAGGCCAGAGCTTGGATCGGGCTGCCATATGCTTTCCTTTCTGCTCCCTCAACTCTCTTCTCTCCTTTTCAGTTTTTGAACTAATCTCTTACGTTGCAACTTAGAAAATGAAGTCTTGAATCATATGCTCAATTATGAGAAGAAATCTGAGGGTCCTAGTGGGCCAACAGCAATCAGGGTCAGGGCTCTGTTTTTTAAGAAGCATCAAAAACTAATGAGTTTGGTTTAAGGATGAATCTGTAGGGCTGTGAGCCTCAGACACCAGGAAATAAGCTATGTTTAGCCTCAGCTCTGTGCCGGCTACAATGACAAAGTCTCCTTGAGCTGCTGCAGAAAGATGAGAGAAGGAGACTTGAAAAGATCTGGGAAAGAATAACGAAAATGATGGCAGACTCAAAAAATTAGGGCAGGTGAGGAAGAGGGCAGGTAAAGTATACCTGTCAGTTTGCATAAAGCAATCTGGTCCCAGGTTTTAAGTCTGGCTTCATGTTCAGGAAGAGCTTTAGAGGCCCATGAGGGGAAGATGCTGAGCAAGGAGCATTTATTTTTTCCTGGGTGCCCCTTCCAACCACCTCTTCTTTTAGGTTTTGCCTAATGAGGTTGCAACGTTTGGAGAAACTGTACCTTTCAGCCTTGGTGTTTTCTCTTCTTCTTTGAAATACCATCTTTTGTCTTTGGTGGGTGAAGGGGGGAAGGGGTACAAGTGAAGGGAGGGTTGCTCAGGGCAGGAACCCCCACCCAGTTTGTATTGTTCTGCAGGCTGACTATGGATTGAGAGAAGCCGAGAAGACTTTGAGCCTTCGGGTGGTTCTCACTAGGAGCGTTTTTAAAAAGATTTATTTAGGGGAGCCTGGGTGGGTCAGTCAGTTAAGCGTCTGCCTTTGGCTCAGGTCATGATCCCAGGGTCCTGGGATCAAGCCCCACATTGGGATCCCTGCTCAGCAGGGAGTCTGCTTCTCCCTCTGCCCCTCCCCCCACTTATGCTCTCTCTCTCTCTCTCTCAAATAAATAAAAGAGAGGGAGAGGGAGAGAGAATCTCCAGCAGACTCCCTGCTGAGCGCAGAGCCCAGCACAGGGCCGGATCCCAAGACCCTGAGATCATGACCTGAGCTGAAATCACAAGTCAAACGCCTAACTGACTGGGCCACCAAGGCTCGCCCCCCTACGGGGAGTTTTTAGCACAGGGCTTTGTCATCAGACTGGGGTGAGTTCTGGCACAGTGCTTTGTAGTTGGCGAAAGTTACTTTTCTAATCTTTAGTTTTCTTGTCACGAGAGTTGTGATGGCAGCATGAAAAGTCTTGGGCACTTGGCTTGGCACATAAGAGATACCCCATTAATGTTAACCATCAGCAGTGTAATTATTTTAGCAGAGCCCTGGTCTGCGATTTGTCAGCCTATCCCAACCCCCTCTCCCCTGCAGAGAACAATCGTGACTGTCAGATGAGGAGGATGGTAGGAATGGTGACATCAGCTGGTGAAACCCCCTAGATTGTGATGCAGGGGGGATGCAGTGACCAGGGGCCCCAGCCTTCCGTCAGCCCAAGCCCAGGCGGAGGAAGAGAGAAAGGAAGTATTGCCTGTGACTTTGGTGTAGCATCTGCCATCTCTTTGATCGGAGTCCTGGTTGGGTGGTTGGTTGGTTGTCGTAATGCCTTTCTGCAGTGTGGGGTTTGCTGACCAGGTCTTTCTGGCCAGCACTTGATGGTGCCGTGAGCACCGACCAAGCAGGGCATTCACCATTGGCTCCAACAGGCGTAATTCAGATCCCAGAGTGGCGCTGGCCCAAGACAAACGGAGACACACAGGCACATGAACCAGGCGGGGAACTCACGCTGGGCCGGCGTGGGGAGGTTTTTCTTTGGTCTTGCTTTGTTTGATTCCCCATTTCCTGTTTTGCTGGCAGGACATCAAGTTCTATACATCCGCAGCTTCCTGCCTGCCGCAGGCACTGCCTGTGCCCAGACTCCATCTTCCACCCAGTGTGCGGAGACAATGGAGTAGAGTACCTCTCACCCTGCCATGCCGGCTGCAGCGACGTCAACATCAGCTCTGTGGCCTCCAAGCAGCTGGTAAGGGCCAGAGAAGGCCCGTGGGGGTGTCTGCGCTCAGCGCGTGCCCTCGCACACTGCTCCTCGGCTCCAGGATGGGCAGAACGCCACCCGCGCCACACTCGCTCCCAGCCTCGTGGCCTCTGGGCCCCACCCGCCTTCTCTCCACCTCCCCTTCCCTAAGGTCATGACCAGATGCCTACAGCCCAAAGTCAATTAAAGGTTGGCTGATGTTCAAAAAAATTCACATTCCTGAGGCCCAACAATGCACAGAGCAGAAACGAGCCAAAGCAGTCCTTCAGCTGAGGCCTTAGAATCTCATCCTGATGGATCCTAAGGGGCATCTCTGGGTCCTGCATCCTGCCTGTGTGGGAAGCCACAAGGACAGGGCCAGAGAAATTGAGAGCAGAGGGTCTTCTGTGATCTGAACCCAGAAGGTTAGAGCTGGAAGTGTGATCTAGGGCATTTGGTTGAACCCCTCAGCCCTGATGTGTAGCTATACAACTGTTCTGAAGTCATGCAGCTATTTAGCGGCAGATGTGGGACTAGAACCCAGGACCCTGCCTCAGTCTGGGGCACATCTGTTCAAGGTCATGTATCTGCTGGCCACTGGCCTTCCACTTGTGCAGCCCACGTTCACTGGGCCCACGAGGTGAAGTTCTACCAGCCCTCGGAGGGCTACGGCTCCTGACTTCTAGGGTCAGCCAGCAGCAAACCAAGTCAAGACATCTGTTCAGCTATTCAGCAAATACTTAGTGAACAGCCAGCAGAGCCACGGATGTTGAGGACTCAGTGGTGAACCCATCAGACAAGGCCCCTGCTCTCGTTGAGTTTGCATTCCATCAAGTAAATGTACAAGGTAGTTTTAGAATGTATCCCATGCCACGGAGAGACTTAATGACTAGGCTCTCTAGTTCCTGGGGGCCTCCCTGCGGAGGTGACATTAGAACTGAACAACCAGAAGAAAACCCTAGGAAGGCCTGGGAGCAAAGCCTTCCGGGTAAAGGAACAGCAAGTGCAAGGCCCAAGGGCATGACAGAGCTGGACACAGGATGAAGCAGGGAAAGCCAGGGTTGGCGCCAAGAGGCGTGTCGCACCCAGGGCAAGGCTGGGCGGGCCGGGCCCAGGAGTTGGATGTGCCTTCTCCTAAGAGCAGTGGGAAGTTCGCGCAGTTCTGCTAAGGATGCCCTAAGGAGAAGAATGTGCCTCATTCCCTTAAGCCCGTGTGGAGGGCACGGACAAGGCTAGCCCCCACTTAGCATCCTCTGAGAGCACAGGGCAAGGCTGCTCCCACAGCCACCTCTGTGGGCAGAGGGAGGACAAAGAGCGCAAAGAAGATGGTCTCTCTATGGCCTTCTTCGGAGGAGTCTGTGGTGGCTTCTGTGGTTTTCTTATCTTTATTTACTTCTGACTCATCTACTTCCAGAAATCATCTTGATAGGTTTCCAACAACAGCACAAATCCATTAGCATAACATCAAGAAAAGGCAGTAAATTATAAGGGGGGGGGCAACCTATGTTAAAAAAATGCAGACTGATGGAAATAGCAGCCATATTGTATATAACTTACTTCTGAGCTTCCTGGCAGCCAAAATAAAGAGGGTGCGCAGTTCCTGCTGTCAGCCAGGAGGAAGCATGCTAGCTTGTTAGTTCCAGTCCTAGCCTTGTAACTGCTGTGGCACTTAAATGGTCCCAGGCTAGGCCATCAGACGCTGTGAGAAGTAAGGCAAAGACCCCCTGACACGGGCAGTGGCCCCCAAGGCCAGTTGTTCCAGAGTACTGCGCCATATGAACTTGCAGACTGGAGCCAGGGGCCTCCTTCCCTAGGGTCCTTCACGGACAGGAGTTCCTCTCAGGCAGGAAGCTCTGGCAAAGGCCTGACAGATGAAGAGCTCAGTGGGTTGCACTGGGTTCCCACTACTGTCTCCTGTCTATCCCGTCCTTACCCTCCCTGCAAGAAGCACACAAACAGCAAACACAGCACCCACAGAACCACTGAGGCAGTGCACAGGGCAGCCTGGCCCCGAAGAGAGCCCTCCCGGCCCCTGGTCCCAAGCTGGGTGGGCCTTGCCTGGCGATGGGGTCCGCATGTCCTGCTGCGGGTGGAACTGCGGGAGGGGCCCAGCCCCTGCTCCATGACTGGTTTTGATGGCCCAAACAGTGGTCAGAGGCGGTATCCGTGGGGCACCTCAAAAACCTCCCCGGGGCTGCTCTCCAGCCTCACCCGCAGCATCGCCCGAGGGACTCTGGCTGGAGCTGGTACCGGCGTTTAAAGTGTGTGGTGGTGCGGATGATGACAGCAGATCTCCCCCCTCCCCCTCCCTCTCCTTTCCAAGATGTATCTGAACTGCAGCTGTGTGACCGGGGCGTCCGCTTCAGCCAAGTCGGGCTCGTGCCCCATCCCCTGTGCCCACTTCCTGCTGCCGGCCATCTTCCTCATCTCCTTCGTGGCCCTCATTGCCTGCATCTCTCACAACCCGCTCTACATGATGGTTCTGCGGTGAGTGCGCCTCTCAGTCCCCCATGCCCCCAGCTTCTGTCTCTCCTCCTTTCCTGCCCCTGAGAGACCCCACCCCCGGGAGGGCAGAGCCACGAATGGCTGAGCCTCCGGGAAGCCAGGCTGCCTGGCTCCACATTGTGGAAATGCCTGAAGATTCACTTATGTTTAAATCCTGAAAGAACTAAGAGGAAGGAAGAGAATTCAGTTAGATGCACAAAATCAAGGGGGGGCGGGAAATGTGGAAAGTTCAGAGACAGAATGAGGGCTTTGAGAAAGGAGGAAAATAAGAAAAGTGTGCTAGGAGCCAGGACCAAGTTCTCAGGTCAGAAGAGAGAGGCTGGCCAAGGTGGGGGGCGGGGAGAGCAGAGGTGTCCCCTTACAGTGGCGGTGGAATGCCTCTGAGGTTTTGAGAGGGAATTGACCCTTCCTTCACCTCACCCTCTGCCAAAGAGAAAACAACATTTCAACCAAGTTCACCTAACCCACCCCTGCCCACCTCTTTCCTGTCCTCACCCCTCTTGAGAGCAGAGAGGGAAAGACACAGGATCTGGATTCCCAGTGCTAGGGTCAAAGGCCCAGCTCGGCCGTACACTGGCTGGATGTCCTGGGATGTTGCCAGCCTCAATGAGTCTCAGTTTCCTCATTTATGAAGAGGTTCACGATATTGACCGCAAGGGACTGGTGTCAGGATTACCTGATAAATTGCTTTGTAGATATAAGGTACTCTATATATTGGTTAATTATCACTATTAGCCAAATTCTAAGAATTATTAACAGCTAGCTAGATGCCAATGACCTATTTTCCCCAAAGGCTAGGAGATGAAGAACAGAAGCAGCCACCTGTCAGGGCCTGGGATTTTACCCTATTGACAAGTTAGCTTGCAAACTACCCAGCTCCTATTTTTTTTAAAGATTTTATTTATTTGACCAAGAGAGACACAGCGAGAGAGGGAACACAAGCAGGGGGAGTGGGAGAGGGAGAAGCAGGCTTCCCGCTGAGCAGGGAGCCCGATGTGGGGCTCGATCCCAGGACCCTGGGACCATGACCTGAGCCGAAGGCAGACGCTTAACGACTGAGCCCCCCAGGCACCCCCCAAGCTCCTATTTTGTTACTGTTTCAAGAATGCTGGCAGCAGACAGGAGACTCCTGGTTCAAAGACAAAGGCCTGTTTCTCACAGGTGCATGCAAAGAGCAGGAACTTTGCATCATTTATCCTTGTGCCCCACATCCCATGGAGTGACCTGGAATACCCAGGTGTATGCGTCACATGCAGTGAGCTTCTGTCACAGTGAGGAACACTGAGCTTGGGAAAGCCACCACCTATGTAGACCAAGCCTGCTCTTGGTCTAGGGTAAGGTTTTACCCCATGCCTCCAGGTTGCTCATTGCAACCACAGCCCTGAGAAGTAGCCCAGGAAAAGAGCAGTCAGAACCTTGTGTTCTTAGCATATTCTCCAGGAACATGTGCGGATGCTCAGGGCCACAGCATATTGCCCCTCCCAACACCATCAGCACCCTCTTTCTACCACTCCCAACCCTATGCATTCCAAACACCGGTGCTTTCATCCAAGGCCCTTGAGTGGGGTTACCTCTTGCACCAGGGCCAGATGGGCCATGGTGGACCCTCTAACCCTGAGAAATATCTGTGGGTGGCCATGATGCGGAGAGGGAACAGGATAAGGACATTTCACAGGGAAGTTGCTGAGCAGCAAGTAGGGGGCAGTCCCCGTCCACCTCCCAGAGGATTCCATCAAGCCCCAGAGCTAGGGAAGCTGTGGAGGAGGAGCATCATTTCAACCACAGGATGGGCTTTCCTAGAAAACCTCTCCCTTTTTTTTTTTTTTTAAGATTTTATTTATTTATTTGACAGAGAGATAGAGAGCTCAAGTAGGCGGAGTGGCAGGCAGAGGGAGAGGGAGAGGGAGAAGCAGGCTTCCCGCTCAGCGGGAAGCCCGTTGCGGGGCTCGATCCCAGGCCCCTGGGATCATGACCTGAGCCGAAGGCAGACGCTTAACCGACTGAGCCACCCAGGCGCCCCAAAACCTCTCCCTTTTAAGTCTGATCAGGGGCTGGAGTGAAACTAAAGAGTCTCCGGGATCCCAAAATCATTTAAAGATAAATCCCACTGGCAAAGATGAGAGAATGGATGCAATTTAGTGTGAAGAAGGTGAGCCTTAAAGGTGACCTTATAGGTGACCCAAGTGTTATTTGTACCCTGGCCCCCAACCAGGCATGGAAATACAGGCTGGGAGGGAAGGTTCACCAGAAATGTGGAAGAAGAGAGTGGTCCAAACACCAGAGTTAGTTCACAGCTGATGAGGGCAGACACCAGGAGGGGCTCAAGTTGTCCATCAGAAGCCAAACTGGGGTGCCCAAGCCCCATTCAGTCCAGAATCTAGGGGCATCTGCCCAGGGACAATGACCAGGACTATTATGAATTTGGGCCACTGAAGGGTCCTGTGGGCATAAAGGGAGCATCCATTAGATTGAGATTTGAGGCACTTTGCATGGGACGGGTCCTAAGTGGGTGCCTCAAGCCCATGAGTATTGCTTTCACTGGGCCACCCTTCAGAGGAACTGGAAGAGGGCCCCTTTCCACGTTGCTAGCAGGACTGTGAGGCCAGAACAAAATGTGTGCAGAGACCTGAACATTACTTCTGAGTTCCCTTCCTCGATGTTCCCTCCGCCCCAAATGCCCTTCCCCCACAGGCGCCCCCACCCAGGAGTGTGGGTGTTCAGAGCACGAGAAGCCTGGTGCCTCTGTAGGCCACCTCCTGGCTCCCCACCTTGTGGATGGGGTGTCCTCCCTCTCTGCCCCCTGCCCAGCTGGGATGGCAGGGCCTGGCAATACCACCACCAGATAGCTTCCCCATCTCTCTCTGAATCTCCTTCCTCAGCCAAATGCTTGTCCTCTCTTGAGGGAAGAAGGGTGGGGGCAAGACCGGCTATATAATTTGTAGGACCCAGCGCAAAATGAAAATGGGAGGCTCCTCGTTCCAAAATTATTAAGAATTTCAGGACCAGCCACAGCAGAGCATTAAATCAAACCTGGGGCCTCTCTGAGGGCGGGGCCCTGGGAGACAGCAGACGCCCCACGCCCACAAAGCTGGCCCTAGGTAAAGGATTCTTTTAGTTGCACACAGAAGCCTATGGCCCAGGGGCCTTAATCACACTCTCATCAGGGCTGTCTTTATTGCTCTTCACACTCTATGAGAGTTGTTCAGACCTGCTGCTGTGAACACACCCTTCCCCATCCTTCTCTCCATTCCCAGGCTCTTCTGTCCTCTGCCTCTTGAAGAGGGCAGGGGCAGCCCTGAAAATCACAGAGGCCAGAGGTTCTCAAATTTGAGTGCGCAACAGAATCTCCTGGAGGGCTTCCTAAAGCCCAGAGGGCTGGGCCCCACCCCCAGTGACCTGATTCTTAGGTTTAAGATAGGGCCTGGGAACCTGCATTTCTAACGAGTTCCCAGGGGTGGGGGCTCACGCTGCTGGCCCAGCGATCGGGAGCACGCGGCCGAGGTGAATCGAGTCAGCCAGCTGGCTGTCAGGCCCCTTGAGGGTAGGTTCTGGCTTGCTCTGAGGCTGGCTGCCACTGACTGAGTCAGGGCACAGCCCCGAGTCCTCTGGCTGCTGATTTCCTATCTTCCTTTTCAGTGTGGTGAACCAGGAAGAAAAGTCATTTGCCATCGGGGTGCAGTTCTTGCTGATGCGCCTGCTGGGTAAGTGTCTGAGATGCCCCTTCCTTCCTGAGGAGCGGCGCCAGGGCATCCGAGGGCTGTGAGGTGCAGGGAGGGGCTGAGGGAAGCCCTGTCTCATCTCTGCGGTAAGGAGAGGCCGCGCATCATCAACACATCGGCAAAGTCCGAGACCCTATATGGGCGGTTTCCCCGTTACTTGAGGTTAGGAAAGATTCCATCTAAGGCATTAATTCCAAACAAAACTATGTAAGAAAAATGAAAAGTGGACACAGCTAGGATCCCTAATAAAGAATTAAAGGCAGGTATTTTTTTCATCTCTCTCCAAGAACTGGCGATAGGAACAAAACCCTGCATTCCAGTCCCAGCCAGAACAGCAGCTGAGCCCAGCCCTGGCTTCCCTCCCGCTTGACAAAACTCACTCCTCTTGCCTCTATTCTGCAAATGTTTCTCAGTGTGGGGCCCTCTGCCAGCAAACCCGGCCTACACTCAAGCAGCCCAGAGCCCACGGAGAAATGGAGCCGTTTGCAAATGGTCAGCAATGCCCCCCAGGAGGGCCAGCTGCCTGCGGGGAGTGGGGAACACCCAGCCCTCCCTGGGGGCCTGGGCTGGTGGGGGGGGCATGTGTGCCCCTCGCCCGCCCTTTCCCAGAGGCTCATGCTAGACCATGCCTTCTTGACCCATCCAGGCAGTAATATGCAGGCCCTTGCGGTGCCGGGCAAGCCAGGTAAAGAGATTACGTTCAGCTGAGTATTGATTAAGGACCCAGTGGGTGCCCAGGGCAGCGGGGAGTAGGGCAACTGCAGTGGAGGGACTTTAGCCGCTCTCAGAGTGTCCTTGCTGGCCTCCGGTGCTGAAATCCCTGCAGAGCCTGCTGTGCCTTATTATCCGGGAGCCAGGCTGCAGTTGGCCCTCCAGCAGCTTCCCTCATCCTTCTGGCCTGTGTTGGTGATGTCCCTTTCTGGGGCCTGCTGAGCAAGAACCCATGCAGGGCCCTCTCCCCCAAAGGTTGGGTGAGGGGTGCAGATGATGAGGACCGAAGCAGCTTTTCCATGGGGTCTCTCGGTGTCGGGCCCCTTGCTGCCCTCGTCCCAGCACTGCCCCTTCAGAGCCTGCTGCTCAGGCCTATATTACCGGCATGGAGGATGCAGGCAGGAAGCACAGCCAGCGGCCAGGATGGGCTCTGAAGAGCTTCTCCCAGCCACCTGGAAAACAGCCACCGTCCCACCGCTCACTGCACCTTCCGCCTTGTTTTGTCACTTGAGCTCAAACAACTCAATACGCGATCACGGTTAGAAAACCCGGGCTGGAGGCATTCCATTCATCATCACCCAAGAACACAATCGCACTCTGGGGTAGAAAGAAGGACTTCACATGGATAAAACCCAGCAAGTTTAAAATTACCCACTGGGACTTGGCTGAAAATGTTTCTGGACTGCGTTTCTATTTAGGGTAGCATCCTTGGTGGACAATCCCTGTGGCCAGTTTCCATCCCCTGCTTAGCCAGAGACTTGGAAGTGAGCAGGGTCTGAGTAGAGAGGCTGGTTCTCAAAGGTTCCCATCTCCTCAAGCAGCTTCTCATAGCACCCTCGACAGAGTCGACGAGGCTGTTCTGAGCACAGTGGTTCAGGGTGTGGATCTTGGATAAATCCCTCCCCAGTCCAGTGACTGCCCAGAACTGTAGCTAACAATACAGGGGTCATCCTGAATACTTAACAGAAGGAAGGCATAGCCTCTGCTGGATCGGGGCTCACCACTCAGCTGTGGGGAAGTTCAGCTCTGAGCAGCCAGGGTGTCGGGGGTCGTCTGGGGGGGGGTTGTCTAAGCCAGCCAGGCAAGTCTGGTGTAGTGGAGGAGCATGGGCTTTAAGGAAACTAGGGTTCAAAGGCCAGCCCTGACCCTCTTGGCTATGCAAGCATGAGCTGGCCGTGCCTACCTTCCTCCTCCTTAGAACGAGGGCACCCACCCACCTCCAGGCCCTGTGAGGACGTGAGGGGTCGATGCCCTCAGGAGACCCCTGCCACACGGTGGAGGTCAGCATATCTCCACCTGAGGCCAATCTGGTGTGAGAACTAGGTTGTCGGTCTGAGCTGGCAGCTAGGTGACCTCTGTGACTCACTGCCCTGACAGGATGGCTCAGGTCTCTTTTCTCTTCTAAGCCTCTAGTGAAAGAGGAATTCAGCTGTCACAGACAGCAATTTGGCTTTCCAAAGTCACTGCGGTTCCCAGGGGTGGGGCAGAGCCATTCTCATTCATGGGAACCATGCAGGGGCAGCTGGCGGCGGGGGGGGGGGGGGGGCTTGCTCCCGACCTTGTCGGGCACCTCTACCTGCAGCCCCGTGTAACCTGGGCTCTCTGAACTCTCTTCCCATGGACGCCAGCCTGGCTGCCATCTCCAGCCCTCTACGGCCTCACCATCGATTACTCCTGCATCAGGTGGAGCTTGCAGTGCTCGGGGAGGCGTGGGGCCTGTGCCTACTATGACAATGACGCTCTTCGAGACAGGTGAGGGTCCAGCATGCCCCCGTGGCCTGGGGTGGGGGGTGTCAGGCACTGGGCCAGAGCAGAGGGCAGCCATCTGCTGCGGTGCCCCTTGTGGGGGCTGCCAGGCTCCCAAGGAAGAGGCCCAGAGGGGTGCTGCCACAGACAGGGAGCAGGGGTCACTGGTGAAGAGAGCCATGCACGTACTGGAGTGTGCGTGTGTGTGTGTGTGTGTGTGTGCGCACGCGCACGTGCTGCTGGGAGCTAGCCCCTAGTCCACAGTCCCTCAGGAGAAGGAGTCACAGAAAGAAGTTTGTCAAAGGGAAAGGGCTAGCTGGAGTCTGAGGCGAGGCCGTGGCTGTGGGACAATGCCAGGCCAGCTCCCCCTGCTCAGAGACAGTTGGCCCCATCGTGGCTCACAGTAGAAGTCAAGGGCGGGTGGGCCTACACTGTCTCAGCAGGTCCAAGCCCAGCTGCAGCTTCATTAGTTCTGCACCCCTTCCAGCCACCTTACCTGCTGCCATCATCACATAAACCAGAAACCATGGGGAGAGTGGGCTTGAGGGGGGCTGAATGGTGTGGGGGTGGCATAGACGGCCAGGTGCCCCAAGAGGGCAGCAAGCAGGTACCCCTCTTCTTCTGGCTCTGCTGGGAGGACTGGACCCTCCAGACTGGCTGGGGCTGCAGTGTTGCCTCTGGCCCTGGGGGAGTCACCGATGCAGGAATGAGGACCATTGAATTAGCAGTCTCATGCCTCCTGGGAAGTGGTCCCCACCAAGGTGGTAATGGATCCTTACCTGAGTAGTGACAGCATATTCCCTGGGCCACTGTGAAAGTGATGCTAGTCTTCCTAATGGCCCTGGCCCACAGCACAGCCACAGAGCCTCCACACCCCCTCACTGGTCTCGTCTTCTCCTGCCCCACAGGTACCTGGGCCTGCAGGTGGGCTACAAGGCGCTGGGTGCACTGCTGCTCTTGTTCACCAGCTGGCGGGTGAAGAAGAACAAGGAGTACAACGTGCAGGAGAAGGCTGCGGGCCTCATCTGACCCCTGACCCTCGGCCCAAACACTGACTGCCCTGTTCCAGAAAGTGGACCCTGCCCCTCCACACCTGCCTGTATTTACTAATGTTAACACATCATTTCCATTTTGTTTTCTAAATAAGAGAAAACCCCAGTCACCATTTGCCCTCCCTGCCTCCGCCCCCATCCCAGGATTCCTTAGGTCCACTGTGTACCTGGGCTGGATGGGTACTGAGCTGGAGGGCCAGGTCTTCCCTGGCTCCTTGGGAGGCACCTGTGTGTGCCCAAGCTCTCCTCAGTGCTGGATCCGCCAGCAAGGATGCCCACTGAGGCAGCTCCTGCCCCCTCCCCAGCCTTGTGGGTGGGGCTGGTTTCCTAAGTGGAGAGAGCAAAGCATTATCTTCCCAGGGGAAGAAGGGAGAGGGCTGCGTTATGATTAATGGCCAGAGGCAGGCTAGGGGAGGGAGAGCCTGGCTATAGCCCTCTTTGTGTCTTGGCTCAGCATCAGCACAGAACTCAGGAGGGACTGGCCTGCTTCCCCTCAGATCTTTGCTTCCTGCCCCAAAAGGCCATTTTGGAAGCCGCCATGTTGGGAAGTATGGCCAGCCGGTCCCCTCTCAGTTACCCCACACTCAGGCACCAGAGCAGAGACCAAGACACCCCGAGGTGGGTCATCCAGATGCTGTTCCTGTTAACTCTAGATGCTTCTGTGCTAAGAAAGCCACACCATGGTGAAGACCCAGGGAGGGCCGTGAAGTGGTCAGTAGCCCAACCTCCTGCACCCTCTATGTGAGGATGAGACCGCTCAACTCACAGTGATGGGAAGACCCTCCCCAAGTTTCCTTGGGAGCAGATGAGGTGGCTGCACGTGGGCTTCCCTGTCTGGACCTCACCCTGTGTGCCAAAGAGTAAAGACAGGCAGTCCAAGATGTCAGCAGAGCAAGCGATGAAGCCGGAGGGGGTGGTGGTGTCAGGGTCTGCCAAGCTGGATGGTGAGCCCATGAAATAGAGGCCAGGGTGGTCAGCTTCCCTGGCTCCAGACACGCCTGTGTTCAACATGTTGTCAGCCTCTCCTCACTGCCCCTCCGGGGGCCTGGGTTGAGCGGCTCCCCTGCTGTGTGGTAAAGGTTCAGAGTTAGATGCCCACAAAGGAGGCCTTTCATCAACAAGTATTATATTTATTGCAGACCAGCTTTGTGCAAGGCAGTGCTAGTACATGGCTCTCCAGCGAGCTCTCCTAGGCTCTCCCCTCCCCGCCCCCCATCCACACTGGGCCTTCTCCTAGAGTGTGCTAGGGGGCAGCAGCAGGGGTGACACAGCACGAACCCAGAGATTGTCAACAGAATCTTGACCATCTATGTCCCACCAGATGGCCCCTGCACCTAGCCCTTTGCCAGACAGAGACCTGGCTCACCATGTCCTCTGGAGCAGCTGGGAACTGGTTATTGCCACACATGGCTCTCTTGAGCGCCATACCTCTTGGAAGAACCCTCCAGAAGCATACCAGAAGCCATCTCTGGAAAGGGCTCATATGTTGGTAAGGCAAAAAATGTATGTCAGTGGCCAAACCGCCATGAGACTGAAGTCTTTGTGAAAGCTACTGCTACACGTGGCCCTTTTTCCAAAGATCTCACTCAGGAAGGGAGGCTCCATGCAACCTCAGGGGCCAGTTTCAGCATTTTAAGATGGTTCCACTTGGAAAATGATTCCCTGCAACTAATCCTGGTCCTTCTCTCTGTGATTTAACCAAATTCTGAAGGCACTGCCTTCAGCTGAGCTCACGAACAATGAATGCCAACCTGCAGATTCTGGAAGATTGGTTGCCCTCCCAAGGCTTTATTCTATTATGATATTGCTATTAATATATTATAATTTTGCTATGGACGTAACTTGGTTATGAATTTGTACTGTCATCTGTATCCATCAGAGAGCCTATAGAACCTGCACTTTCTGGCCAGAGGAAATGCCCATGCCCCAACCACAGGGGCGCATGGTCTTGGGGATCGGAGGTAACGCCACTCTCCACCCATCACCCTGGTTCAGAGCAGGCAGCAGGCGCTTGTTGTTCCTTCAGTGAAGTTCTGCAGATAACCATCAAAGGCCCACAGTGCTTGGCTCTCAGGAGGCCTGATCCCTGCCTTGAGTTTATGTCCACAAGTGGAGTGGAGCACCAATAGCTAAGTCCGTGATACAAATCAGAATTCATATCATAATCGTCTTTGGTCACTTGGTCACAGCCATCCTACCACTTCCCACAGCAAATCTTTTCTGACGGCCTGCAGAGAATACAATGGTGTCACCTTCATTTCACTTCTAGAGCAAACACTTCTAAAGCTGAGCAAACTTCCTTGAGTTCTGGACACTCATAGAGGATGTGGTTAAAACACAGCTTCCCAACCCTTCCAGCCAGCCCCCAAGTCTGTGGGAGTGGCACCTGTGACTGGCCTCTCCTGTGAGGCCGACGTGGGTGGTCCCTACACCCTGGTGGTGGGTCATCAGTGCAGCAGAAATTTGGCGACACCCACTTGTGCTTAGGCCACTGAGAACTTTACAGACTCTGTCGGCCTTTGGTAAGGAAAAAATGACAATGGAAGGGGGGCCTGTTAATCTGATTTCCTGGGTGGCTGCTGTCAGGAGCCGGTGGGCATGAAGAATAGAGCTCACCGTTCTGTTAAGAGCATACTACGTACTAAAAGTGGGACTCTCACTCTCCCAGCTTGAGTGTGCAAAAAGTGGCACAATTATTCTCCAAATCAGTTATGTTTGTTCTCTAGCTGTCATCCTGCTGGCTGGCTGGAAAGTAGCATCGACCATCCTTGATGGTCTGGCCCCAAAGGCATCCACAGGCCCTTGGGTCCTGCCGGTATGAGTCTTTGGTCCCTTCCCAGGCTGAGGCTCCCTACTTGCTCTGCTTCCCCCTGAGCCTGGAAACTGTGCAGTGGCCAGATGCAGGGCTAGGCCCTCCCCCACCCAGCCCTCTGTTCCACTCCGTCTGCCAGCATGATCCAGCCCCTCAGGGGCTGAACAAAAAAAGCCAGGAAAGAAAGGGTCTATAGGAAATTTTTACCTCATCCTTCCTGGAACTTCTTAGCACAGGAGTGGGAAAATGCAGTGAAAATCAAATACCGTATCTCCACGAATTATCCCTTTGGCCTAAAGCCCTCTGGGGTGATCCTCACCATAGCCCCATGAGGGAGGCCAGACTGGTCTGAAGGCCCCAAATGAAGATGAGGAATCTGAAATTGAGGAAATCATTGTGGCCCACTTCACCCAAATGACACCTAGCTGGGTCTGGACTTAAACCAGGCTGTCCAGATCTTTCTCCTCCAGACTCAGCTGCAGGCCCAGCCTCCATACTGAGATATTCTGAAATAGGGGGAGGCCCGTCTATTCTCACTGAAATTCACTAGCCCATGGAGGGAGGTGGGGAATCTATTGAGGGCTATGTAAGATGGGATGGAGGTGGGGAGGACCAGGTACGATGTCATTTACCCCACCTTCAAGTAGCAAGAACATTACACGTGCTCATTGCACAGGGCCGGTTTCACCTGATAAGACCATGAGCGGAGAGTCACAGAGAAAATGGACAAAGAGGAAAAAGCTTTCAGGAGAAAAGGCCCTGAGAGAGTGGCACACAGACAGACCTTCAAGGGAACACCCCCACCTGGTGACAGGTTAGCAGATTCTCACTTAGGAAACAAAGCCACATTGTGATCTTCTCCAACCAGCTAAGCGGGGGGGGGGGGGGGGGGGGGGGGGGGGGGGGGGTTGAATCCATCTGTCTCAGATTGTTATTAAAATATCATATTACAGCTCCGGGAGTGATGAGATTGGCAGGGGCTCCGTGTGTGTGTGTGTGTGTGTGTGACAGAGAGACAGAGACAGACAGAGAAACCCTGTGAATCCAAAGGAGAGATCCTCTTTTCCAACCACAGGAACCACATACCTGGGGAAAATGTCCATCTCCTGCCAATAGCACCCGATTCATTATAACCTTTCCTCAGAGATTAAATATGTAAAGAGGCCCCGGACAAGCCCTTGGCAGATTGTGAGAGAAAGTTTTTTTCCCACGACACACCCTGCCATTCATCCCCACACGACACAGGGGTCACCCCAGTTTGCTGAAGCCCCTGCCCCCCCTCCCCGAGGCACTGCCGCACCTTGATGTCAATAACAGTGACTAAAATGTGCGGGGATCTTGCGGCCAGCCGCCCATCTCACCCGCTCCTCTAATTGCAATTGCAATTCAGGCAGGATAGGCAGGGCCAGGCTGTGGTAACCGCCCCGTCTGTCACGTGACACAAAGGGCGCTCCTCTCTTGCTCACCCAAAGTCTACTGTGGGTCTGGGTGGCTCTCCAGGGCAGTGGCTCCGCCGTGCAGTCTGCTCGGATGCCAAGGTCCCTCCATTTCATAACATGCCACCAGAATTGACGAGGCAGGGCCAGAAAGTCCTCAGAGGTCTCGCACTGGTAAGTCTGGGTTCTGGCCCCAGGGTGACCGGCTCCATCTCTGCTCCCAGCCTGTTGGCCAGTAGGTGCATGTCCCTGCCCAACTGCCACAGGGGTGGGGAAAGCTAATCCTGTGAGCTCAGAAGAAACAAAAAGCAGGTACGGACAGGGCTAGAATCCTCTACCACTGGAGGCGAATCTGGGGGACATGGGTGCTCTTGGACACTTAAGCCAGCTTCGTCAGGCTGTTGGGAAGGGGGATTTCCCAAGGAGGCAGCATCCATGCTGGCTCTGAAAGGGGTTGGGACGATTTCTAGGCAAGGCCAGCCTACAGGCAGTTTGCAGAGGGGTGGGGAGGTGGGGAAGAAAGCAGAGGAGGTGGAGCTGGGGCAGCAGCTGAGAGAGATGCAGGGCCCAGGAAGGTTCTCTTGAGATGGGAGAGGTTTGCTGGGGAGGCTGAGAAGCCAACGAGAAGTACAGCTGTTTGAGCGACCCTGGGAAGGAAGAGGGGATGAGCCGATACACTCTGGAGGAACCTCACGCCGAGCTTCCACCAGCCCTGGAAGGCCAGTATGGCTAGTCCTAACCTCGGAATGGAGAAACAAGGCCCCTTCTAGCTGTCACTTGTGCCTCCATTTATTCATTTAGTACCTGATGCAGATGAGGACCAGAGATGACAAACACGTGGTCCCTATCCTTCAGGGGCATATTAGGAGCCAGAATAAGACCTTAACAGAGGGCAGGGTTCAAGTGCTATGAGCTCATCGGGTTGAGAGATCAGAGAAG